ATAAAATGCAGTAGTGTAGTAGTTAACACTACTGTAACTGCTCTGTTACTATTATTTAACTATTAAGTAACTATTAAATAGCAATTAAGTAGTGATGTTTATAAAAATTGGATATTTTCAGCAATGTACTATATATATATATATATATTAAATTGATTAAATAAAATAGAATCAAATTGAATTAAATCATTTAAATTCAATTCTAAATAGAATTATTCAAATTCTTATCCATTTCTAGTTACCAATGAATTTATTAATAAAAATATAATTCTATTTTATGTTACAAAAATTTAATAACCAACTTTAATAATTTTATTAACAATTCTGAGTAGGTATTTATAACTGTTTAGTATTATCTCAAATGTGTAACAGTTTTAATGTTTATTTTTCTTATTGCTAAAATAGTTTATATAAATAAGCTAGCATTAGACTTATTAACTTAGCTAGTTATATAAGGGATGTTGTTACTTTTTCTATATATAAATTTCAAACAATTTTACAATAAATAAAGTAATAATATTTACTTACAAAAAAAAAATAAATAAATAAAGTTAACTAATAATTTTACTATCATAAAATTATCTTGTTCACACCTAAAAGTCTTTAATAAAAGAATTTTATTTTTGACTTTTATAGGAATGTTGTGAAAAGAGTTTTTTTTTTAATTTCAATACAATTTTATTTATTGAATATTCTTATTATATTTGAAAAATATATATATAAGTATTAAATTTTTTATATAATTTGAAAATCAATTTGTAAAAAATAGTTATAGTATCTTTATATGAGTAATTATTTTAAAAATGAACTGGAAGTTTTCTGACGTGATCAAAAAATTTATATTATATGGATAATTATTTTTGAAGGTAACAAAAATGCTAGATATAATTTTTTTGAATCTAACTTTTAAACAATATATATATAATATAAATTTTAGAAAATTTTCAATCTGTCTTTGAAAATAATTATCCATATACAGTATAAAGAATTAACTTATTTTCTTATTTATTAATTTTGCATATTATATATCAAATCAATTTTGAAAAACATATATATTAAATTTCAATTATAACTTGAAAACAAATCTATATACTTGATTATAGTATCTTTATTAGGTACTATCCAAAATTTAAATATATTTATTATTATTATTTGGATAATTAATAGGAAAAAAATTAAAATAGATAAGCTATTTTTTTGGTTTTGTATTAAACTTTTTTTAATTAAAAAAGATATATATTAGTTTTACTATTTGTAATATTGCTAATCAATAATTCCTTATAAAAGTTTGGTTATAACTAACTGTCTTGATTTAAAAAAGTTTATTTTATAAATAAATTATATATTCTATATATTCTGCATATTGCAATAATCTTTATTAGAATAAATTTAAGTTTTAGAATTTGCGAAAATGTGTTGGATCAAGGCTTAAGAAATACAGTAGTAACAAATTTAATAAATATTATAACTTTTAACATTTTACAATTGTATTATTATTCAAGCATTGAGACGATCATTTCATTACATTGTATATGCGTTTAATTTTGGCACTGTCTTCCAAAATTGGTTAAATATCTTTAGCTAGCTTTGGATCGGCAGTTCCTATATCATAATTTCGGATGCAATGGTGTCAAATGATTAGCAAGTAAGTACCTGTCTAGAAGAACAGAAACAAGTTTCTTTTAATCCAGTAGGTTTCCAAAACAGAAGAACAGTCAAAAAATAATTAATTTGAGATGTCATACATGAGAATCATGAGAATTTATCTAAATCATCAAGATTGGGGAGAATATTTATTACATATACAATTTTTCCGAACAGTTCTCTTAAAATGACGATCATTGTATACTTGGTGTCTTAGTAAATACTGTGTATACATACACGATGCAGATGACCACAAAGAAACCTGTCCACTAATTATAGAAAACAACACAAATAAATTACCTTGTTTATAATGTACAAAGAAATTTCCACCAATCAAGAACATGCATAGATTCGTAATTTCTCTATTTCTATATAAAGAGCTGCTCGGATTTTCATACCATTCTCATCTATACTCTCATCTCTGGAAGTCGAAACCTCATACATTTATAGTCTTTCATTAACTCTCCTTGATATCACTTTCGCCTTCTAAAAATGAAAATCACCCTTTTTACCATATTCCTTCTTTCAGCTAGTGCAGCTTGCCAATATGTCGGTAGAGGTACAGGCTCCAATCCTTCACTTTTAGTATGGAAGTATAGTAAACGTAATCCCGACGTTCAAGGTGCTGAATTTAATAAACGCGATGCTGATCCACAAACCGGAGGCAATAGTGGTATCTTTCCTAGCAGGAAGCGTGACGCTAATGCTCAAACCGGAGGAAATAGTGGTATCTTTCCTAGCAGGAAGCGTGACGCTAATGCTCAAACTGGAGGCAATAGTGGTATCTTTCCTAGCAGGAAGCGTGACGCTAATGCTCAAACTGGAGGAAATAGTGGTATCTTTCCTAGCAGGAAGCGTGACGCTAATGCTCAAACTGGAGGAAATAGTGGTATCTTTCCTAGCAG